CTGGGACTCACTTGGTAGCCCAGGCTGGCCTCGAACTCACAGAGATCCTCCTGGCTCTGCCTCCCGAGTGCTGGGATTAAAGGCGTGCGCCACCATTGCCAGGCGAGAATCTGTCTTAAAAAAAAAAAAAAAAAAAAAGTACTGCAAACACAATTCGAAAATTCGAAACATTTACTTAAGGCATTGTGACCCTCCCCATCTGTGGAGAGACAGTGTTCCAGGACTCTCACCAGAAACCCTGATGGCTCCTCTACAACAACCTAAGCAACTGTTCCTAAGCAACCGGTTGAGATACAACCTCAGTTATATATGACTTATGTCAAGACACTTATTTGTGACTCTCCCTGAAGGAGCCCATACGAACACTTAAGTATGTCTTATTCTTTCCCGTCTCTCTTTCTCTTAATCTTCGTGTTTAAAATCTCTGTTTGAAAAGCCCTTCAGGAGCTGGAGAGATGGCAAGTACTGATGCTTATCCTCCTGCCTCCACCTCCTGAGTGCTGGTATTGATTCTAGGTAGAGACACCACCTTGTTTAAAACAGGCTCAAGCATAGCCGTTGAAGGATGCACAGAGGAGCTTAGGAAAAAGACAGGACATGGCTTACAAATCTGAGCATGGGTACAAGCTTCTCAAAAGAGAAAGGCCGGACATTCAACTGTAGTCACTGAATAACTTCCAGTCGTTACCTTATATCTTGGCTATTTCTGTCTACTCTACTTGAGCAAGGGAGTCTGTACCTCCTTGGGAGAAACTGACTAAGGAGGAAATGACCTGATTTTATTAGACAAAGTGACACATCTTCCTCTTAGTTCTCTTGGGATGCACTTAGAATCCACCATCCTGGACATGAGAAATAAAACGCCCTGATGGCAAAATAGCTAAATAAAGTCAATTTAAAAAGAAAAAAAAAAAAAAAAGGTAATTTCTGAGAAGCCACGTGTTCGTGATCCTGCTTACAACCTCAGCTAAGATGCAGTCACACCCTGTTCTTCCCCTTCATAGGCAAGGGGGCTGGGAGGACGCTGTGTGTCACATGCTGTGAGACAAGCGTGCTGGGGTCTGAAATGGGGGCAAGGGACAGCCCCGCTTCCAGAGTCAGCTTCCTCATGAGCTCAAAAATGCAAGACAGCTTACCAACGTATGCACATTATAACCAGCATAATTCACTCACATGCACGAGCAGTTCCAGATGATTCCAGCCCCCAAGGTATCATCAACCTCGAGCCTCTCTGTCTTCCCAGTGATTTTTATTTGGGGGCAGAGAAAAGCCATCCCCACTGTACCCCTCTACCCTTTTTGTTCTTTAAATCGAGTTTAGCTACATAGCCCAAGCCTGGAACTTGAGACATCCCCCCCCCCTTCTACCTCCTGTTTTCAGGGTTCTTTAAATGTCCTTTATTTATTCAGGTTTTTTCAGGGTCTTTATATACAGCCCTGGCTGTCCTGGAACTTATTATGAGGACCAGGCTGACACTGTATTTATTTTTTAGAGTTATACAGGCTCCCTGCTGGCAAAGTGCTGGAATAGTTCAAGATACCACGTGGCTTGTGTATTAGTTATTTTGAAATCGGGTCTCACTGCATAGCTTTGGATGGCTTGGAACGTGATATGTAGGCCAGGCTGGCCTCAGATTCACAGAGATCCTCTTACTTCTGCCTATGGAGTACTGGAATTAAGGTGTGTGTGATACCTCATCTGTCGAGGGTGGTTTGTTTTTGTTTTTAAGATATGAACAGGCGCCGGGCGTTGGTGGCGCACGCCTTTAATCCCAGCACTCGGGAGGCAGAGGCAGGCGGATCTCTGTGAGTTCGAGGCCAGCCTGGGCTACCAAGTG